TATTGTTGGGATGTACGTGACCATTTACGTCACAGTTGTTCTACTCCTGGGGGAAATTATTTCGTTTTCCTTTCCCGAGCTAGCACCACCACATTTGCAACTACAGACTCCGGACTGTTTCTAATGGAATCCTCTTGTGTTTTCTCACAACCAGGCCAAGTTTCGTGTCGCTGGGGACCCTGCTTTTATTTTATTTAATTGTGTTAATTATTTTAAAATGACCATAACTCGGGGGTGTCAGGCGGGTGTCTTAATTTTCTCAGGAACGATTCTTTTCCGCCGAGACGTTCAATATGAGGTCTCAGATGTCACATTCGGCTCACTTCATCTCCAGATACAGTCTGATACCTCTCTATGTTATTGGTCCTATTGTCCCTGTGCGGGGGTGTTTAAATTTATTTAAATCGTGATTATCTCAGATTTGGCTGGTCCAATTGAGTGAAGGTTAGTATCGTTCAACTCTGCTCGTGACCACCTTTCGCCCTTGGCCCAGCTTGCCCTGCTAAAGAATTTTAGAAAGATTTTTATCTTGTTACGCTAAAGAAGCATAACTTCTTACGTGCGTACATAAGTACACACACACACTTTTTTTTATTTCTGAGGCAATATTTTGGTTTCTTTATTATTCTGTTAAAGTATTTTTTCGCAACCATAACCCATTAGCTGACCCAAAATAAGTTTTACACTTCTAATTTTATTACATTTTCACTAATGTTTTATTTTTTACTCTTATATAGGTAGATTAGTTTTTACAACCTCAATATATATAAGTATTATATAAACAATTACATATGTAAGTATTGTAAAAGTAATTAAATATATAAAGATGTGATAAATAATTAAATATATAAGTATTGCAGTAAGTAATTAAATATATAAGTATTGTAATAAATAAATATATAAGTGTTGTAATAAGTAGGGCAAAATTCATTAAATATATAAGTATTGCAGAAAGTAATTAAATATATAAGTACTAGCGGTCCCGACAGACGTTGTCCTGTACACACGACTTAAATCTGAAAATTACAAACTTTTTTGAATAAGTTGTAACAATCTGGACCGTTTTGATGAATTTTCTTATAAAGAAAGTTATTACAATACCTGACATCATCACATGTACAGTTACCAAAATTTGACCTATCGATTGCGTGTGAGTATGTATTTACTATGAACTAAGTTGAATATAGAACTTATTCTGAATAGAAACTTAAACTTGTTTTGATTAAGGGGTAAAAAAGATAAAATTCGAGCTTTTTTTATAACAGGTATATTTTTTTAATGCACGAAAAATAAATTTATCGTAATGCCATTGAATGTATTATACAATGTTTTTGGTTAATCCTTGAGGGGTATAAACAAACAAATGCAATGGTTTGCCAAACCTCTGGCATGCAACATATAATTGGCCGTGTGAAAATCAAGGGTTTTCTAAATCTAAGCCACAAATTGTCATTGTTTGACCTTGTGACTTATTAATGGCCATAGAAAATACCAAGTGAAATAGAAATTGCAAACGTTTGAATGGGTAGGTGCGTCTGAAAGAATCATTGGGATCTGTGGTAGAAGTATAACTTTACCTTGAAGTTTGCCGCTCAAAATAGTGGCCTCAAAAATATTGCCCATGATTTTTTTATGAACAATCGCGCGCCCTTACATAATTTTGGTACATTTTTAACCAATTTCCGATATCGGACCGAATTGTGAAAATCATTCTCGAATCCACTTGAACCCACACTAAAAATATCATCCAAATCGGTCCAGCCGTTTAAGAGGAGTTCAGTCGTATACACACGCACAGAAGAATTATATATAAAAAGATATATGCCGTATCGTGGCGAAATGAATAATCTTTCAGATACTGTAATTATTTTTTGTCTGATTCTGATAGAAAAATTAGATTGCAATTTTAAAAACGGCGAAAATATCGAAAAATTCTTCCCTGTTCTTTCTTTTTTTTCTCTTGCCGCGCATTAGCAGAATAAACAGCACACAGGAGTAAAACAACTATGCGTTTTAAGGTTTTTAATTAATATCTTTTTAACTAATTACGAATTGGACCGAATATTGTGAATCTAAAACCATTCTCGAATCCACTTGAACCCACACAAAAAATTTCGTCAAAATCGGTCCAGCCGTTTAAGAGGAGTTTAGTCACATACACACGCACAGAAGATTTTTATATATAAAGATTATAATAAGTAAGTAAATATGTGAGTATTATAATAAGTAATTAAATATATAAGTATTAGTCAAAATATGAAAATTTTTTTAGAGGGGCAGCACATTAGATCTTTGCACGAGGGCGGCCGACACCCTAGGATCGGCCCTGGTCTTTGTCTGCCATAATTGGTCTATACACACATTATCATCCTCTATTGCAACTGATTTCTTTGGTGATACAATAGGTCAGTCCAAAAATACAGAAATTTTTCTCAAACTTTTCATTAAGTTTATCTGGTGTTTTCTGTATTTTGTTCATTTCCCAGAAGGGAAATCTTTTCGTGTTAAGCAATTTTCGTTTCGTGCTAAGGGAAAAATTGCATGAAAATACATAGTAGTTTGTCGGGGCCATTGTATTATTTCGTGTTAACCGATATTTCGTCATAAGCGTTTTCACGTGAAACGTATTTCCTTGTATGTACATCATATACTGTTTATTTCCAATCGCTAAAATGTTTTAGATCTCTGTATATTTTTGTTACATTATTTGAAAATGAGTAGGTTGTTGTTTCATTTCTATATTCATTTGTATTTGTATTATAGCTTCATTTTTAAGTGTGCGGGAAAAAAGGAATTACAGTAAAATTTGGCGTATAAAATGCACTTGTACTTGTAAGTGGCAATTTTTAGTTTTTAGGTATATTCGCCGTATAACGCGCACCTCTTTTTTTACGAAATGTAAGTGAGCAATGCTCTTATGTTTTGAAGTCATTTGTGCGAGGTATTAATCCAAGCTTTAGAAGGAGAATAGTATACTTCCAGAGCTGCAACTCTTTAAGTTCATAAGGAATGTCTCTTCTTTAAAAGGAAGATTATTTCGGTATATGTAGAAGTCACTTTTGTTTCATTTTTTAAAGCTCTCATTTTTATACCCGGCATATAACGCGCACCCATAAAATTCGATCTTATTTTTTGTGTTAAAAATGCGCATTATACGCCGGTCATCCTCTCCTTCCATAGTACAAATTAAAATGAGATTTGTTTACAAGATTAAATCATCAAACCAAGAATCTTACATATCTAGATACACTTTTTTTTTTAGATAAGGCTCTTTCCAAAAAAGTATTAAATTAACTTCATTCACATCCGTGTGTGTTATACAAAATATTATATAATAATACTCAAATGTATTTTTTCTTTCTTTCTTTTCGTCCTCATATAACAAATCCTGAAAATTTAGCCTATCATTTAACACATTTCAATTGTTATTCCCAAATCTTTTATGATCTGTTTATGCTATTTAATGTTTATTCTGAATACAGCACTCCAATGTAGAATATTAATTTTTAGAATTGAATTTATATAAATTTAATTAGTTTTTCTTTTTATTTATCCAAATTCATTTCGGAATTATACTTTACTATTTAATACTGTAAAAATGCCTTTTTTAACATGTGTGTGTGTGTGTGTGTGTGTGTGTGTGAAAAATTTGGTTACTACAATTGTTACAAGTACACTAAATAAAACAGTCAGTGTATTAAAACAAGTTTTTTTTTCCTTATCTACCTACCTTATCCTTATCTATCTGGATATGTAAGTTTCTAAGTTTGATAATTTAATTTTGTAAGCAAATCAATCATTCAATTTTTTTTAACAAAGCAACAAAAAAAAAATCAGAGTGATATCACGCACTCGAAATATTTACTTAAAAATTGAATATTATCAAACGTTGAATATGTTGAGATAATACAATCAATGTATATTTTAATCGTGTTATTTTCTGAGCTATCAAGATAAATAAGGTATGATGGTTTGAGCATACTAATGGATGCTTAGATAAGATAAATAAATCATAATAAAACAAATTATCAAAAGAAATTCAATATTTTGAAACAAATTATTATAAGGTTTTCGCGTATTTCGCAGTCAATTCTAGATAAAAACATTAATAATTTTTCTAAAATTCAAGATCGATGTCAGATAATGTCGTGTAATTTAAAAATAATATTCTAAAACAAAAACAATTAATTTTCGTAATAAAGTTTATTTCTCAGAGTGTATTTGAATTTTTTAAAAAAATTATTGGAGTATTATTCATTTCAATTTTTAAAAAGCTTGGTAAAGTATAAAAGAAAATTGGTCCAGAGTAAAATTATTATTATATTAACCATAACACACACAAATTTTATTTACCATTAATTTGAATCAAACTAGGAACATTTTTACATTTTCATAATAACTTATGCTCTCGAGTGGGAGGTAAGGAAGGTGAGAAAGAATGTTCTAAAACATTCGCATGTGGACCACCAGTACGTAAGTTGCGGCCTACCGAATCTTTTTAAAAAAATTTTAAATATCAAATTATTAAAGTTTTTTCATTTTGAAATTTATTTGAGGGGAAATTTATATGTATAAATCAGCAATGTATTTTCCTTTAACCTGTTCTTGTTTTAAAATAAATCCTTTTCGATCATAGAAATGTCCTTTAGATTAAAATAGATTTATATGTTATCAAACAGTTGCACATTTGTGTGATTTTTCTATAATAAATTACTTTTTGAAGTTATACTTCTTTTGGGACGTTAGAGAAATAGGATACAGGTGAATTTTTACGATGTACGCGCACACCGTCACGGATGTGACGCAAAACCGTCACGGAAGTGAAAATGCTTTGTCTGAAAATATACAGAACGTTACAGATCATTGCCACCTTCGCACTCAGAAAAATATTTCTCTTCACTTCCCTGAAGAAGAGGACACCGGGGTTTAAATCGGGTACTTCTCGATCTGCAGTCGAATGCTCTACCACTAAGCTATACCCCCGTCTCAGCGAAACTTTGCTTTCCGTAGAAACGGATACGAAAAATGCTTTGATTAGAAATATTTAGAACGGGACAGATCAATCCCGCCTTCAAATTCCTCAAAAAAAAATATTTCTCTTCACTTCCCTAAAAAAGAGGTCTCCCGGATTTGAACTGGGACCTCTCGATTACCAGTCGAATACTCTACCACTGATCTATACCCTCCGTGTCTGCGAACCTTTGCTTTCCGCTGATTCGTGACGTCACTACTAGTAGGGAGAGATCGCCCTTTGCCTACGGAGCTCCTCTGATCAATTTGTTTGAAAACTTTTTGTTATTAAACCAAACATACTTACAGGAAATTAAAGAAAAAAAATTAATAAAATAATCTTTGTATTGTGTTTCATGTACATAAAATATAACAGTAAATATTAGTTTACATATTTTAATAACAAATGCAAGTATATGATTATAGATGTATTTACTACGAACGCTTTTCGATTAACATAAACACATTTATTACATTTTAGCAAATTATAAGAGCCTTTTGTGTTCATACATTTATTTTTGAAGTTATCCTTCTTTTGGGCGTTAGGAAAAAAAGATGAGGGTAAATATTTACGATGCGCGCGCACACCATCACGGATGCGTGCGCATACCTTCACGGCACCGATGCGCGAGCACACACCATTGTCTAATATTTTAACATGCCACTTTTTTGTGCTATGGGACTGGTATTTGGGGGATCATAATAACTATTGTTAAAAACGATATCTGTTGGGACGCATCCCCCCTGTGCATTCCCCCCTCTACAGCTTTTTGGCCAATATCTCGGCACCCGAGCCTCACAGTCCATTAGGACCTCACTCATTCGATCCCTCTCCATCTCTTCTTCCAGTTATTATAAATTCAAGCTCATAGGGCTATTTCTTACATAGTTTCTAATTGTCTTAAACTTTTTAAATTTGTTGAAATTCACAATATCTTGGCTCCTGTTCGAGTCCCGTACTTGAGATTTGAACCAAGTTTTCCACTAGTCAAGACCCATTATGTCATCTGCTTCATTCCCATAGTGTAGGCAAAGAGAGGGCTTTAGCACTAAAATATCATGCTCCAATGTTAATCTTATGGGGACTGGAAAAAATTTCACCCCTCTTCCCTATGGAATTGAGATTGGAACTTGATTTTTGGAGGTCCGCCATATTTTCGCATTAGCGCGAGCTTTGCGTGCAATTGCCCCCCCCCCCCCGCTACAGGGTTTCCCCAGAAATAACTTTAATCCTATGCCACCTTGATGGACCGCACCGGCTGGATTCGATTGTTCTTCCTATGAGCATCCTAGATATAATTTTTCAATACCATAGCCCCATTTCTTTACCCATATTTAACATTTTAAAATTATTTTAAAGTTATAATTATTTTAAATCCCGCATATCTCCGAGGATTTCGGAGATTCGTCAATGAAACTCAGACCGTAGGTTCTCCCAGTTAAGCTGTTTCATCTGTTATAATTCGTGTGTAAATAGTGGGCTTGGGGGCGGGGGCGTTTTAACTAAAATTACCCCATGTTTTTCTTATGGGGTTCGATCTTTTGATGACGTAACGATATTACAGAGATAGCAGGATGAAACTTTGGGATCACCTACTACTCTGTGTATCGTTGGTGTAACGTCGTCAGTCATTCGTACACAAGAAAATTTGTTACAGCCATACTTTAATATATTTAAATAAATAAAATTTATTAGCTTCAAGGAATATTCATTAAATAGGCCAAAGCCGGGCGGACAGTCTTTATCACTAGCAGGAACAGTCCATAGCTTTTCCGGGCTCCAGTTTACTCCATGGCTCTATCTCTCCAAGTCGCTTCAGGTTTTTCTCTTCTCCTCCGTTCCTCCCTCCTCCGTCCAAATTCACCCCTTTTAAACACCAGGGGCGGGTCCACCACGCGCCCCTCGTTCTCCTCATTGGCAGGTCAAAAAAGAAAAGGGTCTGCCCTCGTCTTCCTCATTGGCAGGTCAAAGAATAGGTCTGCCCTAGCCCCCGGGTCACCTGCGTCCCTCAATTTCGCGGAAAACACGAACACATTCACCATCCGTCTCGAATCCAAGGGCGCCATAACTCACATCTATTCATCTCACACCTGGGCTTCACAACCCCACTCTCAATGCATCAACTTCTATTCAAAACTTTCATAAAGGAATGCCTATCGACATCGACATTCCTTAGCCATTGTATATTCCAGACCAGATGTCTGCGCTGGACCGAGATCAGTTAACAAACAATGACCCCATGGCCACCTGCACCTGTCATCCAACATCTGTTTGGTGATGGATGGATAGGGTGATTTCAGATGAATTGGCAGGGTGGGGTTCACATCAATTGAAGACGTCACATTGGGATGTATGTGATCATTTACGTCACAGTTGTTCCATTCCGGGGGGAAATTATTTCGTTTTCCTTTCCCGAGCTAGCACCACCCCATTTGCAACTACAGACTCCGGACCGTTTCTAATGGAATCCTCTTGTGTTTGCTCACAACCAAGCCCAGTTTCGAGTTGCTGGATGCCCTGCTTCTATTTTATTTAATTGTTTTAAATGTTTTAATTATTTTAAAATGACCATAACTCGGGGGTTCTTCAGGCGGGTGTCTTAATTTTCTCAGGAACGATTCTTCCCACCGAGACATTCAATATGAGGTCTCAGATGTCACATTCGGCTCACTTCATTTCTAGATACAGTCTGATACCCCCTCCATATTATTGGTCCTATTGTCCCTGTGCGGTGTGTTTGAATCTATTTAAATCATGATTATCTCAGATTTGGCTGTTCCAATTGAGTTAAGGTTAGTATTGTTCAACTCTGCTCGTGACCACCTTTGGCCTTTGGCCCAGCGTGCCCTGCTAAAGACTTTTAGAAAGATTTTAATCTTGTTACGCCAAAGAAGTATAGCTTCTTACGTGCGTACATAAGTACACACACACTTTTTTTTAATAAATTCCGAATTGCATTATGCATATCTTGACTATGGATCGTACATAATTCTATGTGTGTGCGACTTCCCTTTCTCCTCTTCCTTCTCTGTTTGGAGTGCCCCAAATGCAAGAGGCAGTCAGAGAAGTTTAAATAAAAAAGTGTCACATTGTATCTGGAGATGAAGTCAGTCAAATGTGACATCTGAGACCTCATATTGAATGTCTCGGCGGGAAGAATCGTTCCTGAGAAAATTAAGGGGACAAAGTACGATTAAATTGACCAAAATCGGTCAAAAAATCAAAGTTAATTTTTTTAGCCTAATTTTTTTTTATGTAGTTTTCTATAACCTCACAAAATTTGAAAGCTCTAAACTTAAAAAACGCAGAATTATGATAGATTTTACGTTCGTTTTTATTCACATCCCTATGGCAAATCAAAACTTTAAACTAATGTATCTCAGAAAGATAAAATAACTAGTTTGTCTTCATTTAAAATGCTAAGGCTTTTTTTCTATTGCGCCTAATGCTTTGAAGTTGTTTTTTTTTAACCTATTGCCAATAGTATATGTAACAAAAGGTGGTATGCATTTTTGAATCAAAATAATAGTTATTTTTTTAAAAATAATTAAACTCAGAATTTATACATTTTTTAAAGAATTTTCAATAAACTTTCATAAAAAAGAAGTATTATATGAATACCAATCACGTTAACGCAAAACCCATACCAACTTTTATTATACATAGTGTGACGTACTTGTAAATCAAAGTTCATACATGTACGTCAATTTTTGTAGGAGAAGTAGCATTTTAAAATCACCTCAAAAATATTTTTTTCCTTAAAAAATTACATGGCTAGCATTTTATGAAATTTTGATCACAAAATCTGTTTAACATAGTATACATACATAGGAGGCAACCAAAAAAATTTTAAAAATCCTTAAATTAAAAAATTTTGCGCAAATCGTACCATGTCCCCTTAAGACACCCGCCTGAAGGACCTCCGAGTTATGGTCACATTTTAAAATAATTAAAACAATTAAATAAAATAGAAGCAGGGCACCCAGCAACACGAAACTGGGCGTGGTTGTGTGCAAACACAAGAGAAATCCATTAGAACTGGTCCGGAGTCTGTAGTTGCAAATGGGGTGGTGCTAGCTCGGGAAAGGAAAACGAAATAATTTCCCCCAGGAGTGGAACAACTGTGACGTAAATGGCCACGTGTACCCCAAAGATACACAGAGTAGTAGGTGATCCCAAAGTTTCATCCTTCTGTCTCTGTAATATCGTTACGTCATCAAAAGATCGAACCCCATAGGAAAAACATGGGGATTATAATTTTAGTGAAAAGGCCCCCCCCCGCGGGAGGCGACTATTTACACACGAATTATAACAAATGAAGCAGCTCAATGTAGAGAACATATGGTCTGAGTTTCATAAACGAATCTCATAAATCCTCGGAGCTAAGCGGGATTTAAAATATTTATAACTTTAAAATAATTTTAAAATATTAAATATGGGTAAAGAATTGGGGCTATGGTCCTGAAAAAATATATCTATGATGCTCATAGGAAGAACGATCGAATCCAGCCACGGTGCGGTCCACCAAGGTGGCATAGGATTTGAGTTATTTCTGGGGAAGGCCTGTAGGGGGAGGGCAATTGCACGTAAAGCTCGCGCTAATACGAAATATAGCGGACCTCCAAAAATAAAGTTCCAAGCTCAATTCCATAGGGGAGGGGGGGGGTGAAATTTTTTCCAGTCCCCATAGGATTAACATGGGTGCATGATATTTTAGTGCTAAAGCCCTCCCTTTGCCTACACTATGGGAATAAAGAAGATGACTGGATGGTTCTTGACGAGTGGAACACTTGGTTCAAATCTCAAATACGGGACTCGAACAGGAGCCAAGATATTGTGAATTTCAACAAATTTAAAAAGTTTAAGAAACTATGAAAGAAAAAGCCCTATGAGCATGAAATTATAATAACTGGAAGAACAGATGGAGATCGATCGAATGAGCCACGTCCTAATGGACTGTGTGGCTCGGGTG